AACCGCCTGAAATGATTACTTGGGAAGAAATGTGGGAAGAGGAAAGGTGGAAATGGCAAGAAGAAGTAACCGCCTGAAATGATTACTTGGGAAGAAATGTGCTCGAGCAAGAAGAACGATGATTTGTACTAGGTGGTAGTTGTGAGTGGAACGATAAGAAGGAACAGCAATCCTGGCAGTGAAGCAGTAGCGATGCAACCAAGAAAATGAGACAAAGGAACAAAACAGTGAGAATTCTTTTAAACCAGAATAAAACCATAAAAAGGAGCAATTGCTACGCTTACTTTCAGCGGACTGGTGTAAGCAGGTATATTCTGTAACGTAGAAGTTGAAAGTAAGTAAACGTGCTTTTATCAAAAAAGGAGTGCAAATGCCATGAGCAGAATAGCACTCCATCTCTTGAATTTAACATGTTGATCGTGTACCGTGGATAAGCAACTAACGATTTACACTAATAAAAGATTTTCGTTTCCTGCAGCGGGATGGCAGCAAATAAACGTATTTCTGTAAAATATCCTTTCTTTATGGTGTAAAAGGCTTTTTACTACGCAGTTTATAAACATGGACCGATTTACCACGGACCATTACATTCGCAGGTTTTTTCACCAAATGTATGTATTTATCGTCTCATACATCAATAGCACGCAAGCAAACACACACTTTTACGGTTAAGTCGCCAGAGGTACCACACCATACAGGTCAATAGCGCATTACAAACTTTTTGGTAACGAGCTGTTCAAGAAAATTTTACGGGAGTGGAACAATTCAAAGAATACTACGGTTCAATAAAATTGCTACCATGCCATAATAAGCTCATGGCACCTTGCACGACACTTCACCCTTTTTGTAAAACGGTGGCAACCAATAAAACACCGGGTCACCGGAATAAAAAAGCGTGGAATCTAAATATCATGGATTTCCTTATAATTGTTGTTCTCACGCTGGCACTTTCCTACGAGTTGGAGGGATACTTTGGGCGCAACTGACCAAGAATATGGTGTTCTACGATACCTGAGATGCAGCCGTGCGATGAATTAAAAATGATTTTGCGGTTACCGAGTTTGTGCCAGGATAAAAGGCCTTTCACTCCAATTTTTACTCTTACCGGTGATGATAGTGCGACATGTATGTGCCGCTTTTTGAGCCGACAGTCACATCAAGTACACGTGCAGATTTGAGTTGTTCATTGCGTGAACATAACGAGTTAAGTACTGCACTTGCCTCGTGAATCGCTTTGATAAATTTTGCAGTTTACACATTTGCGTACGAATATGTCACGCACTGTGCGTCATTGCCCATAATTTTCTTGCTAACGCTTCATCAGCGATTTTAGATGCGAATAATTCGTTTCGTAGAAACGAATTTATTTGGCAAAAGACTATAAATATGGCGTATTTTGCTGATATACCATCAATTTGCAGTCAATCGCACAGATCGGTTGTTCAGCACGTGTGTTTTAGATCGTGTTTCTGTTCGATATTCTTTCTCGTGCCGATCCGCTGTGTACTACGCTTGCTAGCGCACATAAAAACATTTTGTATCTAAAGAACACTCAAAGCGAAAAATTGCCGCGTACACAGAGAATTTGCACCACTCATATTCCACAACATTTTTCTGATCGACCAATGATAAAAAAGGAACCAATCATTTATAATCAATCACGCATTGCACACCATGCAGTTATTCTTATTGATTGTGCGCATGCTTGCGAAACAAAAGAACGAGGACGAGGACGATGACGAGTTTTTCAAGCCATGTGATAACATGTGCTGCATGTGTGGAATTGGTCAGAGTGGCAATACAGTTTAGAAGGGCAGAGACGGGTGGTGCACTTGGTGGATTCTTCCGATTTATGCCGTAATTCTCACGGATATGGTGTTGTGTAGCGTTTGCGGTAAAATTGCACCGTTTATTGCCTGCAAATTGAGTATTACGCAGCGTAAAACTTTGTTTGTGATATTTACCAAAATTTATTACCACGTGCTGACATCGTGCCAACAACATCAACACACAAAAATTGTTATCCAAATCGTGGTGCCACAGAACAGAATGCATTCCTTGCCAAGGATTGCCTATGTATAGGACTTGGACATGTTGTTAGAGCATGCATCATAAAATGTTTTATGGAAAACGAAAAGCGTAAGAATCCATCACAAAACCGTTAATTACGATTTGGGTGTAAATAATCAACGTAAAAACTGCAAAGAAACCACTTCAAAACAGAACCACGTGAAAAGTACGGCTCATCAACAACTCTCTTTTAAGCTTCCCAGATAGCTGGTCATAGCAGCTGAACCAATGGTATTCTGCGTCATATCCACGAAATAAAGATCTGTTTCAAAACAATAAATGCAAAACCAATTAACAGCCATGTACCGGGTACATAACCAACTAAATAGCCGATCTATTAATTGAAAGAAACGATTGTTCATGATGATCAGTACATTCGCTATAAATATACACGGCATTTGGAAATGTATGAGCACGTTATTTGTATTCCTCGCACAAATTTTTGGAGAATTCGTAAAAGTTGATGATGATGGAACAGAAAGTGACGACTATGTCGCTGAGCTGGATGATTGAGGTAAATAGGCATTTTCTGCATGGTGTTAAACTAAAAACGTTTAGATCGTGGCTAACATTCTTTTTGCTGAGATACATTTACATTGATACGAGTACATCTTATATTTACCAATGGCTATGCTACACATGAATCGGATTAATGAACGTAAATGACTTTTAGCCCTTTTTAATCAAACACGCTTACTTCATCAGTGGTAACGAATGCAAATGCCCGTGTGTTTCTGCTGTCCTTCTAGGGGCGGTCATTGCTGGGATTGTACCCCCTTTGTTAAAATAACCACATAATTCACCTCTAACCGGGTAAAATACGGAACGGCACCTTTTCTAAATTACCATTGTAGGCACACTACGATAATAATGAATAACACGGGGCGGCATTGCGATAATTTGTAGGATTTCTTCTCATAATTTACTGCGCTCGAATAATATTTATCGTACCTATTAACGTAAAGATTTGCGGTACTTCTTTTCGTATGCTAGGCTGTCAGAAGATTGGCCATTATTCAGCAGACGTGGCGTTGTGATGCACAATTCGTTTGATAATTCAGCGAACGTAGAAACGAACGGCTTGGCTAAGCATGCTTGATCGGTTATGTTTAGAAATGACAGAAAATGATGCGTTCGTTTTGCTTGATCACACAATGCTCTGTTTGTAACAGGCACCAGTGAGTATACGAACAGTTTTTCTACAAATTTTTGGGTGGATTAGGAAATAAAACAATTAGTCATCCATAAAGGCACCTTGAATGGAAGTGGGCGGTAATATACGGAATACTATCACGCAATAAAACGAATTTACAACGTTTTGGACACCAAAAATACCAATTGAACGTAACAAACATCGGAGTTATAACATTTCACACGTTGACAATTAAAACGGCGTATTGTAAATTTGCTTATAAAGGCTGCTAAAGAAGAATAGTAGATGTATTACACGGGTTGTACGTTCCTATTCATGGCACTAAGTGTTGCGGGTAATATGGAGGTGGGAAAAGACACGGGCGAGGAACTAGTGAAGAAGGGGGAGACTATAGTGGGAAGCATGGATACGGGTTTTAGGGTTGCTAGGGTTGTTGGCAAAGGTGACAGAGCCTGGGAAGATGCGAAAAAGAATGCGATGAAGAAGAGTGAGCTGAGGGATGATGGGGAAGAGAATGCGATGAAAAAGAGTGAGCTGAGGGATGATGCGAAAAAGGATGCGATGAAAAAGAGTGAGCTGAGGGATGATGCGAAAAAGAATGCGATGAAAAAGAGTGAGCTGAGGGATGATGGGGAAGAGGCGAAGAATACGGTGAGGGACAAAGCCGGTGATGAAAAAGAAGAGAGTAATGGTAAAAGAAAAAAGAATGAAGATGATGTGATGAACACTAACACTGCCTTAACGAGAAAAAAGAATGAAAATTCTGAGGAGGAAGATAACAGCACCAAGAGCAAAATTAAATTGAAGGAAGAAAACGAAAATAGCAAGGGGGAGATGGAAAGTGAAATTAACAACAACCTAACGAGCAAAAAGACCAAAAAGAATGTTTCAAAGAACAAAGATAATAATATTACAGGTAACGGTGACAAAAGTGTCGATGCTAGTGGTAAAAACGATAATACTGTTAACTTTGTCGATGCTGGTACTGTTGTTGGTAAAGGTAACGATGATCGGATTGCTGAGGATGTAATTTACAGGCAAGCAGAAAATGCTAACGAATACATTGCTGGTAAACACAAGAGCACGAAAAAAGGTAAAAACATGATCATGAACGATGAAGATAGCAGTTAAAACTAGGGAAAAAAAGCTGCAGTACCAATGAAGAGAACTGCGGAAAAATACCAAAGATGTTTTTGGTAGCGCTAAGTAAAACCACTCAGTCATTTTTTGGTCACACGATAGTTTTTAGATCTCCAGGTCTACAACGGATGCTGTGATGTACCGCTATTGCATATTCTTATCGAGAATGTGTTTACACCAAATTTGGTGAATAACTAATCGATAGGAACATTAATCATGTAATAGCAATCTCAACACCTTTTATCGTACAAAGCATAAAAATACACCTCTACTACACGGCCATGTGGACTGTAACAAGGAGTAATTTTCATTGCAAGTGCGTTTATTTATCGTTTCACTCAACACCATCAAAACAAACGATAGCGAGAGATAGGCATTTCATGAATAAAATAATTAGTATGCGCTTTCCTCAGAAGCGTTTGATAACGCTATATTCTCACTGTGATCGTATTTAGCGCACATATCAACCGTATGCCGTACAATGACCAGGCCGCACACGAGGAAATGCTAGAAATGTTTACTAATTTTACCACTTATGAAGCCGAAGTTCGAACCAGAAATATGGCAGTTTTACAAAGTACAAAATTTTTGTTCTTGATGCCTTGCTGTAACCGTAATCATTAAGACTAGCCATGATCCATGCTAAATGATGTTTCAACAGCAGTGCTGGTGTCAAATGATAGGCAATTCATTTACAGGGTGAACTGTATATCATTATATAATACAGAATCGGGTAATCTTTGTCTGCTTGTTCACACGAACTTTTATGTTAAAAAGTGTGCTGTATCGATTTGTATGGTACCATAAGTACGATCCGCAATACCAGATAAATAAAATATCTTCCTAGAACAGCACTAATTAATAACATAGCACGTACTCAAATAAAAATACTAGTTTTGCTTCTACATGCGCACTGGCATGGACCTTACATATTTCTCTTTTCTGCACAAAAGCCTAATTATTAAATGCATAAAGCATTTCATTTACAGGTTTATACTTCACACCTAAAGCATGTCATTCTCTTCTTTACGTTCCATCGCATGTAATTTTTGTTTCACAGAGCCATTATTTTCTTCACGCAGAAATGATGTTGGACTGTGTTTAATCATAATATCTCATCAATATCCGCGAAATGAAACGCTTTTCGCTTCATAAAAAAGAATATATGACTAGAAGAATACAAGAAAATCAAATGCATATCCTTTTATACGCCATTAGCTTTGTACTAGCGAATGATGATATGAGCAACACCGATGAAAATGATATAGTTAAGCTGACGAACACAAGAGGTGCAGATAACATGTCTAGTTTAGACGAGTTTGAGGATGATGCCGATACGCTCACATCATAGTTAAATAAAGATGAATTTGTTAATTTTTGAACAGGTAGTTACTTGGCTTGAAGTACTTAAGTCATCGAGAAGCATGTGCAGTAAACGTATTTTCTAGACCAAGAGATGTTACGGAGACGGTATTTCAATCATGCACTTGTGAAGCGATTGCAATTTAATACCTCTTAGCTCTCGCTCGAAAGAATAAGCTTGATATGTGGGACTAAGCAATGCTATGCTAGCCCGGCTGAGATCTGTAGGCGATGAAAGAGGATACAAATACCGGTTAGTTGATAAGATAGGCAATGAGATGATACGTATATTGATGAATAAAGGCGTGTTGCTTAAGTGTTGTGATGTGTGAAGATGAATAGTTGTGCGTGCAGTAGAAAAATGATAGCTAAGGATGTTAAGATGATCTATTTCACACAAATCAGCGTTAGGTTCTTTTAGTGATTTACGAAACAGTCATTTCCATCCAGTTATTACGGTTTTACAGTAAGACACGCAACAAAAAAATGATGGCTATTAAAGTTTCCATTCTTTCCCAATATTTTTTGCAAACAACGTAGTATTGATGACATATTCCCGCTGTTATATGTGATACGCCAAAAATACGGAGACTCGTCGAATAAATCTAATTCGATAACAAAACCTATCACATATAATTTTGTATGCGTACAGGTTTATACGGTGAAATGTTTTAATAATTGGCTTTAAAGGCTATATTAATTAAATAAATGATTTACTCGTCATATTTTTTGACTGTGGTACAATAATCGATGCCATGTACCGTGTACTCCGGGTTGGAAGCATTACAGATGTTACGACGTCTGTTTTGATTTAAATTGTATCATTTAACTGTTGTATAGAGAGAATATTTCATTTAATATCGGTATGAGAGATGTGTTTTAACGCAATAGCCATTCAAAAATCGCAGTATTTCCATACTTATCCATCTTTCCCGTAATATCTATTTTGTCTTTATCCGCCAAATAGGAGTTCAAAAAAGGACTGTCCATATTGGAACAAACTCATTTACTTGATGCATTTAACTTGGAATACATTGGTTGCAGAGAAACACACTTGTATAATTGGAGATGCGTTAATTAAAACTTGAATGGAACCATTTATTGGCTCGTAAGCGAAAAATGGTATATTTGTTGGTAAAGCTATTGTGATCTAAAAACAATTACCGCAATAAAGCAATTTAAAAACAACCATCCGCTACGATCTAATAGAGTTAGTTCGTAGTTGCGCGCCTACTTCTTCTCGTCACGCCCACCACTGCCATCATATGATAAATCATTTCAACTAAATAACACGGTTCGTTTTTGTTATCTACTTGTTATGCGTTTAAACCGTGTATATCACTGATTTTGATAGTATTTGTCAATATTAATTGATAATGAATAATCCCGCATTTAGATATCTCCTATTATACTATTAAATCATCAAATCATACAATGACATTCCCATTTTTGGGTAATAATACCAATATAGCATAAAAATATCTTACCAATGACCGTAAAGGAGCTGTTGTGCAGAGTATATATAAGCGCAGCTAACAACTCTTAATCCATGAATATCTCCTACGTTTTTGCATTCTTCATGTGTTTGCTTGGGATAAAATGCGCCGGTTCTAATAAGAACAGCGGCGGAAATTCTGAAGGCTCCAGTGGTGGAGCTGGGGGGTCATCGAAATGCAGTGGTGGTGATGGCTCAAGCTGTCCAGGATGCAAATCGGGTCAATCATCATCTGGAAGCGGCAATCAATGAGCGAGTAAGCGAGCAGGAAAAGTTTTAGAAGTAAACAGGAGTTAATTCCAATCTCTAGCCATGTTTTGCTGTTTAGCGTGGGCAATTACATAATTTGTAGTTGTATAATATAAAATATGTTCGTTGTTAAATAGCTCGAACTGCCATATTTTTAAATTTTACAGCATTTTGTACTGAGTAGTGATGTCATAGTAAGGCTACGAGGTTAAATCAACGTTACTAGTCAATGGATTTGCACCTGTTTTTTACTGGGGTGATGAGCTTAGTCTTTAAATTTTTATTGAACGGAAGAACTTGGTTATATTAAAATTTTAGATTAATTTTACTCTCATCACACGCTGTATTTTAACAATATTTGAGGCGGAGTAATTCGTGTATTTCAAATTATACCACTACTTAATTGATGTTAGGTCATCTGTGCCTCTCTATAACAAGTTATAAATGTTTTTATTTATATGATTTTTTGCTGATGCTGGTAATGAACAGATGATGAAAGTCAAAAATGAGCTTGTGACATAGCGGTATTGCGCAATTCAGCGTTGTAAATGTACTTTCTTCAAAAGATGTAAATAAGCGTTTGCAGCGTGAACATGTGAGTTGAGAAACATCTTCTCATGTATATTCTACCACCGCACCACAGATGGCTAAACCCTTTCCCCTAATCACTACGGTATAGTTGGATAATATGCAAAGTGTATATCGCGACAATGCACACGATTATATTGACAGACGAGTCCTTGAACAGGGATTAATCGCATGCCTGGGCGTGTAAGATGAGCAAGGAACGTTTTGTACCGCACATGCTATCTTTATGTATGCAGTGTTTGCATCAGTTATAGCTGGGTGATTTGTAGTTTGGATGTGAAAACTGTTTTCAATCCGTGCTTGGCTTTTAGATTATCGTGCACTACAAACGTGGTCCAATGCTTCTCAGCCATCGATAGAATGGATTGGTTTATGTGGATGAGATTTGTTTGTTGGCGTTTTACTGACCAGAACATATTTTTAAAAATCGTTTACATATCGTTACTTGACAAATTTGGACGGTATCCAGTGACACAGTGCAGCATACCGGTTCTAATATCGACCGATGAACGTGTGTTATCACGTCTTTTATCCTCAAAGATCCAAGAGCAAGAGAAAAGATCTGCTGTGATATTCACTGCGCTTTACTAGAATAATTTTTAGCCGATCACAACGCGTTTCGTGATGGCAAATAAAAATGGCTCAATAAACTCATTTTATCAAAACAAGCAGCGTAAATCAACAATTCTTTTAAAACTACGAGTCGCCAAAAATAGAAGCGATCTCGTATTGGACGTTTATTAAAACAATCATTTACAAGCTCTCAAATTAACGGCTGCTATTGCACATACCGTTGATGCACGTAGTGCAAAAATGCCTGTTTGGCCAGCATCTGTTCACTGTGTGCAAGCCGATGGCAAAGCTCTTCTAAAAACAAGCTGTTTTTACCAAATATCTCATCACACTACCTCCTTTTCATTGGTCCAACAAAAAGTGATTATATCCGAGCAATTGGGAAACTGTCTTAACAATCCATCAATAATCTATCAGTTGTATTTTCAATTTAATTGGATAAATTTTTAGTGATCAATGATTTGTTTATGTTCCAGAGTCGATGTTATTAGGAATCTGGCAGTCGCACTTTACCGGTAATATTCGGCATTTAATTAAAAATTTATGTAATAAATGTTCATTACGATGTTGTTGGTTTAGAGAAGAGCATTATTTTTACTTGTGAAATTGATATTTTATTTCCATGTTTGGTGATACAACAATAATAACGAACGCTTTGGAACGTATATATCGGTACAATAGTCTTGTGTTCAGATTCTAATAATTAAAAATCACATGCCAATGAAATATTAGTATTTAACATCATATATAATCGTGATGGACAGGGAAGGAACCAATATTCTTGCACCCCTTTTAATTACACCAAGCTGTTT